TAGTGTATCAAACAAACTGACTTCTCAGCGACGCCGGTGGAAAAATAATAAACGAAACTTCACATAAAACTATAATATTTTGTTGTGACGACGCGGTAGAATCAGGCGCTCGTCAATTTTTCAAATTCAAATGAAATAATTTTTTTTAAAAATATCCATCTATCTTGAATAGAACTCAAGATATTTGCGACTGAAGAAGGTGAAGTCGCCTGAATTAGCGAGAAAATGGCCGCCAAAGTTTGGTAACTCCAATAGCTAAAGAGTCCCCGAAAACAGAAAAATGATATATTTTTGTGCCATTAATCAGTGTTTTTCAGTAAAATTCACACGCAATTGTGTTATTATATGGACATAAAAGAGGTTGAGCCCAAAAAGAAAAATTCGATGAAAATTTCCAAACTTTAGGGAAAATGCCTGTTTCTCCGATTTCTGTATTTTGACGAGTCCCTGGTTCCACCACGCTGTCTCACACATTCCTTGTCTTAAGCTTGCGCATATGGAGTGAATGGATGAACCCAACACTTATCATTTAGAGAATTTGTCCTGGGCACTCTGGAGTGAAAGGCAATGAGGAGGCTGATAGGCTGGCAAGCAGTGCCGTGGTTGATGGTGAGGTGAAATTTGACAAAGGAGAAGTGTTGAAGAGAAAAAGTTGCGGGATGAGGAAGACAGGGAGACAGCAGAACACCACGCAGTCATTAGGATGTGGGAAATGGGGGTAGAGAGAGGAGAAGGAAGAAAGGTACGATTATCTGGAAAGGAAAGACGTCGATATGATCAAACGGTCACTGGAACAATTCGTATGGATACCTTGCGGGCTTTGGTGCAGAGAGGAACTGAACACTTATGGACCTGTCTGGTGTGCAATGACGTTATTGCCTAGTTCAGGTAAAACAGGTAAAACAGGTGAAACAGGTAAAACAGGTAAAACGGGTAAAACAGGTAAAACAGGTATGCTTGCGCAGGTTAGAATTATAAGTATAATAATAAGAAAAAACAACAAACATGGATTTTTTACGCCCCTTGTGAAAAGCCGAATGCAAAACAGTTACGACAAGACAACACAAAAATCAATACGAATTGATTCACAGAGTGCTGTCAATAATTATTATGCCACTCTTTAGAAACTAAGCCTGCTTGACTTTCAAGCATATCTCTTTTGTTGACAGTGTTGGAAAGGGGAGGTTTGAGAGGGGGCGGGGGGAGAGATTCTTCATATTTTTGACGAGAAGAATAGCCACTTAAAAATTTTAATGGTGTGCAAGCTCAAATGCAGATATTTCTATCTTTAGTAACCGAGAAAGATTTTTTTAAAAAGAACGCGTTCATGGTTTGTACTGCACACCTTTGTAGTTTCGTCTGTCCAAGTAATGCGTTTCTCAATAACCCTCTGTGCTAGTTACACTGTGTCAGTGGTGTAGCAGATAGGCTCTAGGGGGTGGGGTGGGGGTTAAATACAAACAAATACGTTTAAGCTTTGCATTGTATGTCCACCACAAACATTAGGTTAGCAACTACTAATTCGAAGTAACATCTTCGAAACAAAGCTAATTTCAACACTTCCAAAGGACGTGTGTGCACTGACTGAAAAGGGCACTATACGCGAATGTTTTTCACTCACTTAAGTGGGAATGGGTATTCGATCGGTTAAAGATCTAGACAGCGAGAGAACTTAATCAGTTTGTGTCTGAGTCTGAGCAATTAATCGGTTGCTTGCACTGTATGCTTCCCGGGAAGCCAAGATTATATTTAATTTCTGGGTGTTCTAGGGCATGCTGGATTAATATATATAAGTTTAGTAGTTGTAAAGCACATATGTCTTCTTGTATAGCTTGAGTGTGTTCTGTATAAATGCAGTTATTAACTAAATGAATATATGAATAAATGAAAAAATGAACAATAAATATAATATGAATGAATAAATAGATGAATGAATAAATACATTTTAATAGGTAAATAGATAGATATATGGTAGATA